TGACGCCTTTACGTTGGGATTAGTGCCTCTTTATGGCGGGGTCAGCAAAGTTCTTTCGGATCAAAGAGCCAAAGACGCCCTTCGCTCAACGGAGCGATAACGCCACTCCCTGTCAAGCCAATCCAAGCGATGGCATGCCAGCGAGCCTGCGGGAGAATTCTCTTAGTGACCCAGAACCGCGCAGTCCACCGCACAGTCTTTGGCATTTCGTATTCGCCCGATACCCGTCCAACTGGCTCCGCTGTCAAATGAATGCTTAGTGCAAATGTCGGGTTGAGCGCGGATCCTATTGAAGTTGCGTTGTTCTTCTTCTTTACACAAACAATAGTCAAAAACTTCCCAAGTTCACAAATGCCATCTGCTGTATATATTTTAAGGGTCACGTGAATCCTCATCAAATATTTTTGTATTGTCTACCACGTTATATATTTTTTTGGTACTATTTCTCTCATATTTGTCATGTTTCTTCCATCCATTATTTGTGTATTTTTGTCATATTTTTATCGAATTTCCCAAATATTTTCGTCATGTTTTTTTCAAACATTTTTGTATTTTCCATTTAAGATGAATGTGTTGTTCGTCCCATATTCTTTTCTCCTTGTTGTTTTTATATATTTTTTGGTAATATTTTTTCTTTTTTTTAAAGCTCATTTATGAATTATGTGTATGTATTTTTTAATCAGGTTCTGCGTTTTTATATTATTTATCTTTCTTTCTGGGTTTTTTTTTTTTGTTTTTGTTTTTTTTTTTTTTTTGTTTTTTTTTTGTGTGTGTGTTTGCAGTACATCAACGGCGGCAACCTGGAGCAGCTCCTGGATGGCAACAAGCACCTGAGCTGGCTTGCCAGAGTGAAGCTGGCCAGCGACCTGGCCGGCGGTCTGGCCTACCTACACGCCAAAGGCATCTTCCACCGAGACCTCACCTCCAAGGTGGGCGGGCCGGCACGGCGGCTGACTTCCAACTCGTATACCATCTTCCAAGTTTGGAGATCATCATGAGGATTTTTGTTGTGGTCTCTTGCCAGAACTGCTTGATCAAATGCGACGACAGCGGCGGCTACACGGCGGTGGTGGGAGACTTCGGATTGGCCGAGAAGATCCCCGCCAATCTGTACGTGCTCCTCTTTCTCCTTCACTTACAGTTGCTTTACAAGTGGGTCCAAAATATTCAAGGCGGTTCTCAGTAGGACAAAAAAAGCCCTTTTATTTTTTTTTACCCTCCACCAATGCAGTGGTTCGGTGGACAACGTTAAGCATCTGAAATCCAGTTTGTTATGCACTAATCCTAACTTGATTGTGCAATCGTAAGAACCTTGTTGCTCCCTAGTAGCACTTTAATTGACACCAGCCCCAAAAACGAGGTTAAGTCTAAAGGGGGTAGGGGGGGTTGCTGCTGCCTTGAAGTGGTCATGTGGCGCTAAAAGGACCGACTCAATTACCAACATGCCTTTTGTTTTTCAGTGGATTGTTTCATATTTACGGTCTTGAAGTGTTTTTCATAGGAATATTTACTGAAACTATGACTTTACTATTGCATCAATGTGGGTGAATAATAAACCGAGAGGTTCATGCCGCATTAGGAAGAAAACTTTGCTTTGGTGCAATAATGTGGTTATTAGAGCTGTTAAAAGTGATTTTTTTTCTCCATTTTTGTTAAATTGTTTAAATTACATTTGAATCTTTTTTCGATTGTGACCTAATTTTTTTAAGTTATTTTACTGTTTGATTATGACAGTAATTATTTAAAATAGTGTTTCATGAAATGATTTACTTTGGGACACATTTTCATTATGTTTCATTTGTTAATTTTTTTATTTATTTATTTATTTTATTTTTTTATTTTGGTGCAGCACGGAAGGAGCGAAGCTTTCGGTGGTGGGATCTCCTTTCTGGATGGCTCCCGAGGTTCTGAGAGATGAACCTTATAACGAGAAGGTTTGTGTGCACGCACTGAGGAACTTCGTCGAAGACACGTGGCCGACGGTCCCAAATGATTTTTTTCCTTTCAGGCTGACGTCTTCTCCTACGGCATCATCCTGTGTGAGATCATCGCCAGGATCCAGGCTGACCCCGATTTCCTGCCACGCACAGAGGTGAATGTAAAACTCAGTCCGCCTACCTGCTACCCTGCTAAAATATTTTTCATTTGCATCATTTCACACACGTTTCTTTGTGTCATTGAGCAGAATTTTGGCTTGGACTATCACACCTTCCAGCACATGGTTGGCGACTGTCCACCCGACTTCCTTCAGCTGGCGTTCAACTGCTGCAATGTAAGTCCATCTCGACGCCTTCCGATAGGCTGTCTTGAATTTGCAATCAAATAACCTCTCTAATCTGAAGACCATGTCCTTGACCCCAATCTCCTGGGGTCCTCTGACAAAAAGTTGACGAAGTGACCAGCCGGTCTTTATTATTTGTACAAGCGATTTACTTAATATTTTCTTCCGATGATTACTTTTTTTTCCTTTTCTTTTGGTCTTCCAGATGGACCCCACGCTGCGTCCCTCCTTCCCGGACATTGTGGGACACCTGGAAGACACATTGGCACGTCTGAAATTAGGCGAGGAGGCACACCAGTGCCCCCCGCTGGCTGGAGAGGGAGACAAGAAGACGGTGGTGTCGAAAGGTTTGTCACTTGTGGTCGATGACCCCTTGCATAAAATGGAAAATATACAGACGTGGGAGCTTTCTGAGGTACTGTCAGGAGCCCTAACAGAGGCGGGACATCACTGAAATGTAAGGTTTTCTGCAGTGCTGGTGCAGTCATGTAATTTTTTTTGTTGTTTTTCCCCGATGCTGACATCTAATTATCTGGCTCAGTTTGGATTATTCTGTGTCTTATTTTATGCGATCGCTGTAAAAAGGGCTATTGTTTTATTCTGAACTCATTTTGAACTTCCTGTGTGTCCAATTAAAGGGGAGAAGATTCAGGGCCTAAAGCGACTCAACCCGCTGATTTTTCCCGATGACAAAATCCCGCCCAAATCTCCACGCCCCCGCCGCAACATCTGGCTGAGTCGCAGCCAGTCGGACATCTTTTCATGTAAGGCAGCGAGGAAGGTGAACGTGCAGGACCCGTACTACGAGCCGCCGGCCTCGCAGCGGGCCACCAAGCCGCACAAGGTCAACCCGTTCACAGCACGCGAGGACCTGTGCGGCGGCAACATCAAGTTCTACGACGTGCCCAGCAAGTCGGTGTTCTCACTGGTCTTCGATTTGCGCTCGCCGCCGGGTAGCGCTTTCGCCAACCGGCCGCCGCCTCACACCTCGGCTGCTGCCGCTGCATCCTTCTACTGGCAGCAGTTGCCGGGACGACAGTGTCACTCCTTGCCCGTATCGCCTCAACTGCCTCGCTCAGAGTTCTTGTACCGCCACCACGCCGTCACCGTAACCGCCCCGGCCATCAATAACAACAACGGGCCGCTGCCCTGCAAGACGCACCCGCTGACATGTGAGTGATTCATAAAATAGCATTTGAGGGGGGGTGTGCAGACTTTTTTAATCCACTATTGTTGACTCAAAAATAAGCAATTGCGTCTGCTTTCTCAGCGGCCACCTGCTGGCCTGAGGCGGGCCCGACGGGCAGTGAAGCGCGAAACAAGGCGGCGCTTAGCAACTGGGCCAGGAAATACACAGTGGTGGAAATCCCGCCCTACTGTGGGCCAGAGGCGGAAGACGAGACAGACACCGATGACGAGGATGACGACGATGTGTTTGGTGAGAGCTGGTCTCCGAACATCCCCCTTGGCGAGGCCATGGACTGCTCCAGCATGTTGGAGGACCAACACATGCATGTCATGCCACCTCTGGACTGAAGGGGGCGACGTGGACTTCAGATTCCGAAGAAAGCGGATTATGAGATTTTCCTAACGCACCAGTCGCATTGAAAACGTTATTGATCATATTCTTTGTATTTATTGTTAATATTACGGGATGACTTTGATTGTTTCCCTCCATTCCCCCAAGCCCACCCCCACCAGAAGATCAAGTTTTTGCACCAAAACGGATCTCTGCAAGAAATCGCTGCTTTCGTTCCCTCCAAATTCCGACAACATGCGCTTTCGATCCGTAATGGCTTTACTTGCTTTTCCTTGAGTGGACATCCTTAATGCTTCTGTTGGATTCAAAATCAGCTTGATGCAGTTTCAGGCATTCACCAGCAACCATGTTGTCCTGTTTTGTTTTTTGGGGTTTTTTTTAATCTTTAATAAGCAATTAAGAGATTATTTAGTTTGCGTCCATAGGAACTAAAATGCACTATTCTGTCATCTTTTTCTATGCAAAAAATAATTTCGCACTGTTGCGCAGAATCGAGGATGTAATATTTATGTGTATGAAAAAAAAAACGACTACAAAAAACAAGTCTTACCTTTGTATATTTGTGTAAAAAATGTGCAGACTGATTTTGCTTTGAAATATCAAAGCTTCCCTCCCGAGTGTCATTTCAGTCTCAATAAAAACTTTTTTTGACTCGGACCTGTAAAGTAGTGGTGCAAGCGTTTTGATAGATCCATGTCTGTCTAGGCTCGGATCCCTAATTTGAAACGCACCAAGGTTTGACACCGTAGCCCTATCTTGAAATTCTTGTTTGAAACCCAGACTTGAAACACTATTCCTGGCTTGAAACCTTCATTTTTAAATACTAACTCACTTGAGACCCTAAGTGGACATCCAAACTTTTTGTTAAAAATCCCTAATCCTATTTTGAAACTCAAATCTAAGCTTGAACCCATAACCTTGGCTTGCAACCTTCAGTCCTGGGTTGTAACTTCTCAAATGACATTCACACTGTTGTGCAGGATTGAGGATGTGATATTTATGTTAAAAAAAGACCTAATTCTGCTTAAGTTCCATTTCAGTGTCAATAAAACTCTGGCTCGGACCCATCTTGGAAATTGTGCAAGTATCTCGAAACATCCGCGGAAGGGAACCGGACGCTATGAAGAAGAAACAGCGTCGGCGAAGTCTCTCAGCCAATCAGAACAGTTTGCAGCCGAAGTGGTGTTCAGGAAGTCAAGAGAGGGGGAAGTTTAGTGGTTTTCTTGCGTCACTTGCGCTTTGTGTTTGCAGATGCAGACTGAAGGTAGGACAGCAATTTTCTGTCACTTTTTACAAAAAAAAACGACAAAAACTACTCTGTGGATGTTCGCAAGACCAAGACTGAATGGTGCAGGTGTCGGGAGATTATGCAGAGGAAGTGATGGGAGATTTGAGTTGACTCACTTCAGGTTTCACATCGACAGAGAGGCCTGTGGGCATCGGTGAAATTTTCAGATAGGGGTCGGCGATCGCTTAGGTGAAGTACGTAGTCTTCATTTTTGTCTGGTTTTAAGGACTCCAATCCAAAAGACGCCAATTGGTTAGTTTTATTCGAGTCGGGAGAGGCATGGGTGTGGCCTTTTGACAATAAATCAAGTGTATCAGTTAAAGGGGAGGAAGTGGTGAACCGCATATGCACGATGATGGCGATTCTCAAGCTTTTTAAGGGCCTGGGACTTTTTACAGGACAGGCGTTTTTCCAAGTACCCCCTGATAATCCTTTGACCCGGAAATGTAACTACCACATATGCAACTGAATGTCATAAGAAATAAACAAAAAAATGTAACCCTTTTTGGGGAAAAAAAATCACGTTTGTTACTTTTCTACTATTCTCTTAAATTATTTTCAAAAGGATACCCCTAATGCAGTGTTTCTCCATGTTGTCAGAGTACTAGTGGTGCACAGGCTCCCTCTAGTGGTACACCATAGAATTGCTGAATTACATGTTCAAACTGCAGATTGTGGCTGAAACTTTTTTTTAAGTACAGTTCAGTTGTGTTTAACTTAAGCACAAAACATTTTTATTTAATCTTTTAAAACAAGTTTGTTTTGAAACATGTACTGTACTATTTTTTTAAATACTTTTTTTTTTTTTTTTTTAATGTAAGAAGTCAACTAAAAAATGTATTTACAATTATATGTTGCCATGGCCCCACTAGACTAAACACAGTAAAAAAACATCAGCGAGCTAGTAAAAGAAAATGCAAGAAATTACCTGAGGGTTTTTTTTTTGTTGTTGTTGTTGTTTTTTGTGGCCACACATTGTGATCCAGGTCAGATCTGGGCCGAGCCTTGAGTTGACACCCTCGCCTTACATGGTCCTTGTTCATCCTCTTTTGACAGACCTGAGTAGATCAAAACCACAATGTCCCCGCAGTGAGGACGACGCCTCAATTTCCTTGAGAGTCCAGTCGCATCTAGCCCAAAACAGGGCTGGGCTGGCGTTGGAATTACAACAGTTGCCAAGCCATGAGGAGAGTCCGGAGAAAAGGGGCCAGCAAAGACAAGGTGTTTGGTTGTGATCTTCTGCAGCACCTGAACGCCACCGGCCAGGAAGGTACGTTGGGGGGTCCCGGACCACAAAACACCTGGACCTCTGAACTTTTATGAAGGTCTTCCTCTGCAGTCCCTCAGGTGTTGCGGTGCTGCAGCCAGTTTGTGGAGGAACATGGCGTGGTGGATGGAATCTACAGGTTGTCTGGTGTTTCATCCAACATCCAGAAGCTCAGGTGAGTTCTTCGCCCGCCCATTCTCCGTCACACCTGTGACCCTTCTTGTCGCCTCCACAAACAGGAGTGAGTTTGAGGGCGACAGGAGCCCGGACCTCAGCAAGGAAGTGTACCTGCAAGACATCCACTGCGTCAGCTCCCTGTGCAAAGCATACTTCCGGGAGCTGCCCAACCCGCTGCTCACGTACCAACTTTACGACAAGTTTGCCGTTGAGTAGCATCCAACACGACACACTACACCCGTGTGGATTATTTCAATGCCCGAGCCGTCAAATTCAGAAAAAAAGCGATTGCATGAGATTTGGCTGAAACGAGATCGGCAAGATCAGAGACCTCCACCAAAACGTTTTTTGGGGTTTTTTTTTTGTCCATCACCTCGACATGTTAAATGCGAGTTCCGATGTTGAATTGACATCGCTGCCAAACATGCGATGTGGATGAAAGCTTGTCACCACAGGGAAGAAAATGTACCCAACGCATAGTGTCAATGCTTTAAGAAAGTTATCACCTGCAAAATCATACTCCTATACTAATCAAAAATTCATCCCCGTTGAGGCAGTGCGCCTCAAATGCTAATGTTTTGGTCATGGAGTTTCTAAAGAAACTGATCATCTGAGACGTGTCAGAAGTGTCAAAGTGTCAAGACCCTTGACCTTCACCAAAGTTTTGTCATTTATCACCTGCAAAATTATACCGCTGCCTAAAATTTTGAACTACAATCTGCAAGAGCCTTCGTTATCTGACGAGATTTGACATGTCTCAACATGGTAAATTGGTGTTTCCGTGACAAATTTACATTGCTGCTATGAATGAAATCTGGGTCGGCTACAGATTGAATTTGTGGATTTACAGTGGTGGAATCGACACCACTGCGAGCATGCTGGAAAGAATATCCAACTGTTGTATGTCAAGACAATAGGAAGTAACCACCAAACCTTGGTGGCATCAATAGATGTTAGTTAGTTGCACTCTGAGGAATGACGGGAATGGATAAAAATGAGAGTACTTTTTGTGATGGATGTCTTTCCATCCACCCAGCTACCAAGAACACGAACGTTTCTTCTACTTGCTGCAGGAGGCTGTGGCCGTCCAGCTGGAGGAGGAGCGGCTGGTGAAAATCCGAGATGTCCTGAAGGAACTTCCGCCGCCCCATTACAGGTTCGGTTTTTCGACATTGTACCGTGTTCACTCGTACCGATTGTGTCTGAATGTCTTTGTCTGACGCCCTTCAGAACTCTGGAGTTTCTGATGTGCCACCTTGTCAAAATGGCGTCATACTCACCAGAGACCAACATGCACGCCAGGAACTTGGCCATTGTCTGGGCGCCCAACCTGCTCCGGTGTGGACGTCACACTTCTCCTTCATCCCTTACGAAGACGCTTGAGAATTCAAATAATCGGTCAAATCTGCTCTTTAAGGTCAAAGGACATTGAGGTGTCCGGTTTCAGTGGCACCGCCGCCTTCATGGAGGTCAGGGTCCAGTCCATTGTCGTGGAGTTCATCCTCACACACGTCCCTGAGCTGTTTCCCGAGCCGAGTAAACACAAACACGCGAGCCTGTGTCGCACTCGCCCTCCGGCTACAATGTGTTAACTCTTCCCGTTTCTTTCAGACGTCACGCACAGCAGGAGAAAGTCTCTTCCCTCCCCAACAGCAATCTCCAGCCAGGAGGAAACCCTCTTCAAGCCTCCAGCAAACTTCGGACACATCAGTCCAGGGGATAGTCCAATTCCAATCCGACCTTACCATGCTATTATAGAAGGCACCGATAAGTGAGTAGACGATTTAACGCTGTGTTCTCATGGATGTTTGAGAACTGCTCAGATATCGAGAGAACTTGTACTTTGGTCTTATGTGGGTTCTTGCGTCATGGCGGCACATTTTGTTCACCTCAGGAGAAAGGGCTCCTTCAAAGGAAGGAAGTGGATTTCCATTTTCAATATCGGCAGTCGCTTCCACGACCCGAGAAGACGGCATAAACACTCGGCCAAAGGTATGTTGAGTAGAACTTATTCCATTTGTGGTGAGTCCGTGATCGTGTTGTGAATTGGAACACAAATCAATTCGGGTGGTCGCTGAAACGTATGACTGTACACAAACCAGAGGAGCAACTGGTTGTGTTGAGTTTTTATAAAATCTGTTTTATAAAAACTCAAGGGGAGAAGCACTCACCAGGCAAGCTAACAGTTGAGCTAGTTTCTTTCATTTCCTGCTCTACCCCATCTTTTCCTTCCTTGGATTTTCCATCTAGATTTCAGTCCGGATGCCCTGAATCTGTCTACCCTGCTTTACTAGTCCAAATGGACTCCAAACTACATCTTACATCAACACTATAATGAATATTTTTCTGTACAGAGAAGGACGCATCGGGGTTGCGTCCAGCTCGAAGCATGGACTCTCTCAGTATTACGTCATATTCAAATGAAGGTGCTGCTCTCCTCACCCTCATCAACATCCTCACTATCAGATTCTCAAACCTCCAAATGTAGATCTCTCATTGTTCCTTTTATTCCAGATTCTATACGTCCTCTGCAGACGTCTCGCTCCACCAAAATGTCCGGCTTGGAACCTGCAGCATCACGTAGCCCGTTAGGCGGAAGTGAATATGCCGTGACCTACCGCAGGGGGACGGGACTTATGAGCGGGGGGACTCAGGGCACCTACACGGCCCTTGACCCCGAAGGCCTAGGTGGCGCGGACAGCGACTCTGTCCAGTCCAGTTCGCCGGGAATCTCCACCAAGGCAGGCCGCAGAGCGGCCATGCACATCACCGGACCCACCATGGTCACGGTGCCGCTGCACATCACTTCCAACTTAGCTTTGGGTCTTCTACAGGGAGGTGGGAGTGACAGGGTGGTCCACCGCGGTAAAGATAAAGATGGAAATGATCAGGAAGGAGACAACTATGTGCAGAGGAAGGATAGTGGAAGAATGGAAATGAAAGTTAAAGAACTGAAGGAAGCTAAAGCAGAGACGAAAGAGGTGGCACACGGGAAGGAAATCATTGTGGATGAAGATGCAAATACATTAGTTGACAAAGAAGAAGAGGCCAAGAACGAAGAAGCAATTGGGGAAGACTGCAGAGCGGAGCCAGCGGTAAAAGAAATCCGTGCCAAAAGTCTGAGTTACGACGTCAATGAAGACGTTTGTCAACAGTATGTCCATGAAGGTAATGTCCGAATAATGTATCATGATGCATACCTGCTCACCTCTCATTCAAACATCTCAATTGCAGAAATGGAAGGAGTGCCATCCGCCAAATGCGAGGACAACAATATTTTTGACTCTTCCGGCGTCCTCAACTCAACCGAGGTGGAGCAAGATGACCATGAGCTGTCGGGATACGTTCAAGATAACTTTGAATTCCTGGATCACATGGACTGCAGCGTCTCCTGTCAGGTTATTTGTTGTTATTTTTTTTCTTTTTAATGGGTAGCAGGTTTTCTGTGGATTGTTATTGTGGAATCAGATAAGCAGAATGCCTCTGCATGTGTTTAAAACTTCCCGTGAAGACTTACGGCTTAAGACTAAAAGTTTAATTGGGAAATTCAGCCAAAAGTCCAAAGTCTTGATTAACCCTCAGAACAAAAACATACTCTCTTTTCTATTTGAAAGACAGCCAGATAGACAAAGACCTTGTTTGACACTGGGGCCGAATAACCAAAACCTGAAAGACCTCGTTGTATTTTTGACCAAAATCAAAGGATCAAAAGAACAAAGTCTTGCTGGGACCGAAAAGGACATTAAAGGGCCTTGCCATAGTTAAAGACCTAGAACTTTAGCCAAAAGAATAGGCTCTCGATAAGCATGGTTTTACTGAGATTTGGACCAAAAGACCAAGATCTTACCAAAGACTCGGACAGTAAGAACTTGGCCTTCTTTGAGACTTGTACCTACAGACAAAGGTTCTGCTCAAAGACATGGAATGTAATAATGTACCCAGACTTGGGCCGAATGACCTTTGCGTCGCTTAAAGTCTCTAAACGTTGCCTTGCTTAAGTTTAAAGGGACACAACGTGGAGGAGAAGCAACTCAAGAATGTGCTTGAGACTTAAGTTGTAAATAGTAGCTGAACTTACGACTGGTTGGTGAACAGCCCAGAAGTATTCTATCGGGAATATATTCTCGGTTCAGCGTCAACCACTTCAAACTTGTCTTTTCAGATTCCTCTCCACTTCCTGCCGGACTGTACCCACCAAGTGAATGAATTCTCCGTTGAACCTCCTGGACATTCCGACGACGAGTTCGAACTGATAGAGCAACCACCTCTTGACGCCACGGGGCCCGACGTCAGGCTAAGCGTGAGCTCCAAGTCAAATGTTCAAAGCCAACTGAAGCCCCAGCGGCCGCGCAGCATCGATGCGAACGAGCGGCACGCAAAGTCCCTCAGCTTGCCTCATATGACCTCGCCCGTGCGTGAACCCGAGGAGTGTTGCAGCAACGACGACGAAGACGACACAGCAGATGACGACACAGCAGATGACGACACAGCCGACTACTACAGCAGTGATGAAGACAGCAGCTTGTTTGTTAGGAGCCTCCCTGCGGACTTCTTTCTAAGCAATGTGTGTGATGTTCTACCGGAGGACTTGCCAGCCTGTACTGCAGATAGCGCTCCGGCGGAACAGTCACGTCAACCAAAGGAATGCAATTCTGAAATGTCTGCCGATAAACAACAAAATGATGGAAATCAGAGCAAGGATGACAAGGACAGAGTCAAAGAAACGATACCACAAATTGAAAAGCGAATTGACCACCGAGAGGAGCACAACGGTCCAAGGTGAAAAGGATTTGGCTCTAAAATTTCCATTTGCGATATGATCCTTCCTAAAACTGTAACTTAGTGATCTAAAAGGGCATTCAGTCGTGGGCACAAGTAAAAACAACTAGTTAGAGCCACACCATCTAAATCCTCACCAGGTTGTTACTCAGCCATGCCCTACATATTGATTACACACTTTTTAAGGGACTTAAAATCATTTTTAAAGTATAAGACAAGAAAAAAAATCCCTGTGTGCTTACTGCTCCTGTAGTGTGGTGTCTTCGCAGTGACCAAAACGCCACACACGTCTGGAAATTTCTACAAATTACTTGTTTTAAACTTCATCTGTAAAGCGAGAAGAAGCTTAACACTTCTCTGATTTCTTTGTGCAGAAATGAAGATCTACGAATCAAGGAAACTGGTCCAGAACCTCTCCCCATAGAAGTGCATTCATACCATTGTGTGGATTTGCAAGAGCACACGGATGAATCAAGTGTTAAGGCTATTGACGATGTAAATGTTGACAAGATAAGACAGGAAGACGATGAAGAAGAAGAAGTCCATCACTTCTCTACATCTGAGTATACTAAGAAAGAAATTTCCCCGGTAGAGAGGTACCGAGATGTTTCTGGGGAAGCTACAGAGGAGTTTAAGGAGGACCAGGATGATGGAGATAAGAATAACGAGACTGAGGATGTGAATCCTGAAACTATCATAAATATGCCGGAAAATCCCTTAACAGAAGATGGAGCGGTATCAAGTTCTGGAAAGACACAGGAGGGTGACCTCGGGACGGACGATGCCTTTGGAAAATTCTGGGACGAGCTCGAGGAGGTCGTGTGTGAACTCATTGAGGATGAGGAAAGAAAGACATGGGATGTCCGTGATAGCAGAGAGACCAACGAGAAGGAGACAACTGCACGAAAGAACCCCGAGGATACGGACATCAATTTACCAGAGAGATGTGGCCAAGAAGGAGCGGTTGTGGGAAAATCGGTGCCTACAGAAAACAAATCAATGGTTGAGGAAGTGAACGTGACAACAAGTCTTGGAGATGCACCACTGAAAGAGGTCAGTGTTGATGTTCCGCAGTCTGGAGAAGAGGTGTGCTCTGAGGAGCGAAGATCAGAGAGGTGTGAACAAGGACAAGAGGTTACGGAATTGTTGGTACCCAATGAAGTCAAACCCGACCTTGAGAAAGTGACGGTGACAAGTCTCCGAGATGTGCCCATAAAAGAGGTCAGTTATGATGTTCTGCAGTCTCGAGAAAGTTTGGGGAATGAGGTCCAAGGACCAGAGAGGTGTGAAGATGGAGGTACAGATTTGGAAATGTTGGTGCCCAAAGACGACCAACCCATTTGTGAGGAAATGATAATGACACCTCGTCTTAGAGAGTCACCCCTGAAAGAAGTCAGTGTTGATGTTCCGGAGTCTGGAGAAGAGGTGAGCTCTGAGGAGCGAAGATCAGAGAGGTGTGAACAAGGACAAGAGGTTACGGAATTGTTGGTACCCAATGAAGTCCAACCCAATCTTGAGAAAGTGACAGTGACAGCAAGTCTTGGAGATGAACCCCAGGAAAAGATCACATCTGAAGTTCTGGACACTGGACAGAGTGGGAGGTTTGAGAAGCAAAGACCAGAGAGATGGGAACAAGAGGGAATGGTTCCCAAAAAGTTGGTGCCACAAAAAGACAAACCCATTTGTGAGGAAGTGACAATGACACCAAGTCTTCGAGATGTGCCCATGAAAGAGGTCAGTTCTGATGTTTTGCAGTCTCGAGAAAGGGTTAGGTTTGAGGTGCAAGTACCAGAGAGGTGTGAAGATGAAGGTGCAGATTTGGAAAAGTTGGTGCCCAAAGACGACAAACCCATTTGTGAGGAAATTATAATGACACCTCGTCTTAGAGAGCCACCCCTGAAAGAAGTCAGCTCTGACTTTCCTGACTCAAGAGAAGGTGTGAGCTTTGAGGAGCGAGAACTGGAAAGAAGTCAACACCAGGGGCCAGTTATGGAAAAGTTGCTGCCCACAGAAGATGAACCCATTTGTGAGGAAGTGTCAATAACACCAAGTCTTCGAGATACACCTGTTCAAGAGGTCATCTCTGATATTCCTGAGTCCAAAGAAAGTGTGAGGTTTGAGGACCGAGGAATAGGAAGGAAGTTGGTTATCTCAAAACTGCCAAAAGTTTACCAAGTGAAAGCGGTGCCAGTGGTGCTGCCCAAGCGACAACACTGCAAGCTAGCTGCCCGGAGCCTGCGACAGCAGCAGCAGCAGCAGCAGCAACAGCAAGAGAGGAAAGATGCCTATGCACCGGATGATGTCGGTGCCAATTGCAGCAGGGACATGTCCCGGAACAGCCCTCTCAGTATGTGCTTCGACGAGGCTGTTGCCATAGCCACCATGAGGCGGGAAAAGGAGCGCGAGTGTGAGCGGGAAAGGCAACGGGATTGGGTGGGTGAAGTACAGTGATGGTCCAAAGGTTTGCGGTTCACAAAAACTTTGTGATACTGGACTTCCGGGTGAAATTTTTTTAAGATAAACCAAGAATGCACAATTACCTTTTCAAGTGAACTTAATTTGACCTTCTCAAAACTTGTGAATGCACATTTCTAACTGTTTCAGTATATGTGTAATTTGCTCTTATCTAACAAGGAGCTGAACAATAAAATTCACAAGAGGTGTTTGATCAATGAAAATTTCCAAGGACCTCTATTTATATTCTGTTCTAATTTGCCTGGTTAGCTTATTGTTGGAGAACAGCTAGTTGTGCAAAAAGTATTGCAACATCAAACAGGTGCACGTGCATTCAAAAAGTTTAGAGAAGTACAGATTAAATTCACACGTAAAGGTAATCGTGCATGAGAATATGGGCCAGTTTTTGCTGAATATCAAAGGCGGGGACATTTTGGAGGGATCATCCAATTGCAAAAGTATTTGGATATTCACTAAGCCAAGTACTTTCAGACATCATTTTTAGGATTGACTAAACTTCAAATTGCGCTCACTTCTGTCTGCTGTCTATGGATGTATATGTAGTTTAAAAAAAAAAAAATATATATATATATGAATTAAACCTGTCTTCTATGACCTCTCTGCCATTATTATTATTATTATTATTGTTATTATATATGTCAGTTATGTTGTGCGTTATTTGTTAAAAAAAAATCAAGGTGTCCGTTACCATTTTTCTATTTTTAAAATATTTAAGTAGTCATTTACACTTCTTACATAAAAGGTGTCAATTGCCACCTGCAATGGTTTGAAAAATCTTTAAGGTTTAATGTCAACCACGAACCAAAAAAAACAGTCTAAATTGAACGAATGTCAAGATGTCGAATTGTTGTTGAATTTTAAACATGCGTATTTTCTTTATCAGCGGCGACTTACTTACAAGTCTTTATTCAAAAGAAAAATGTTTAAAACGGTGCATATCTGTTTTTGGATAGGTACTCGCTTTTAAAGATTTTTGACACTCAGAAGAGTGTGAACTCGCAAGAATGTGCCGTGTTTTAGTGATGGGATTTTCGGCTCTTTACTTACTTAGAAATGGCTTTTTACTTATTTTATTGAACATTAAAAAGGCTCCAAACAATAAACAAGCAACAAAATTAAACTTCAACCAACAACAATCAAACATGCTGCATCGTAACAAAAATAGTGAGTATTAACTGCAACAGCAGCAGTGAACAAAACAAACATAAGCTACTCCTTGCTTTATTTTAACAAACATAAGCTACTCATTGCTTTATTTTAAATTTGCAGTCAACAAAACTAAATACTTCAACTTGGAATACTTCAATTTGTCCAGTCTTTGAGAACACCCTCTCTGACGGGACAGATGTTGCGACAATGCACAATCTACTCTCCATTACTTTGATCAAACGGGGGTCGACGGAAGCTCGGTATTTCCACCAGCTCAGTGGATCATCTGCCCTTGAAATCTGCGGTGCTTCAAGATATGCCCTAATTTAGTGTTCTGTGTTCTTGGACGCTTGGCTAATACTGTAAATTAGATTCAGATTGCTTGCCAAACGCCTTTGTGGTTTCCCGGACAGTAGGGGGCGATATGAACTAAAGACATCCAATTCACCAAGAAGAAGAAGAAGTACAAGCGCAAGAACGGTACTACATCCCGTTCAATGAGCAAGTTTTTCCGCTGTCCACAAGCCCTGTTATCAGTGAGTAATTTTAACATTTTAAACTGACTTCGCAGTTTATCTCTGAGTGTAAAGATGTAGACAATTGGGGAGAGTTATTACGACACGTTGCTCCTTTAATTTTGTTGTTGTGACTCAACGTAAAAAAACAACGTCGGCAAAGGTGGCAGTGAGCGAGCACGCCGCCGACAGGTAGACCTCAGCTGTCAATCAAAAAGCAATCGCGAACAGCGTTTGACTTGAATACTATTCTGTATGTTTTCCACACCAAAGCTGCTATCAGCAGTGGAAGTGTGATGGCTTCACATCGGGGGTGGGGGGGAAGATTTGTTTCAAAACTATTCCCACAAATGCACCCGTGACTTTGTTCATTTGTTTTTCGAATGGAGGTTGCGCATTGTACTTTAGGTGTGGGGAGAGAGCCGCGAGTGGACCGCTCAAACAGATGCATTGCGAGTGCGGGCACGTTTGGAAATGGACGGGTTGAAAGTAAAAGTCTGCCATTTGCGCTTCAGTCACATCAGACAGTCTTCACTGTTCCCGTTGGTCTCCACATGACTCGAAACTCCAGGAATCGAGCTTTTGGGTCATGTGAAACCGACGGGATCAGTGAAAAGGTCTGATGTGACCCAAGTGCAAGTCTGAGCTCAAGACTGACTTGAGTTTTGAGGGAAAAAGTGGGAAAAAGTGCTGCAATGCCCACCCCAAACCACACCCAATTTGACATGCGCCAATCGCGGCGAGGCCATCGTTTGCATAATTCTAACCCTAATTTGCATAACCACGCCCACTTCACCCAGTTCTGGTCAATCGGATTGGTTTACATTTGCATAACCACACCCCAAAGAGCCCACCAATCAGAGAACGCCTGATTTACATAACCACTCCCCCTTTCCACCAACCACAGCATGTTATCGTCATGCTGCACCCAATTTCACAGCTATCAGCGAATCATCAGCGATCATTCCAGCCAGGCCACACCTACTTTCCTGGATTTTTCTGCCTGGAAAAAAAAATTTGGGGGAAAAAAAAAAATTGGAAAAAAAATTCAGAAAAAAGTTTAGAAAAAAACAGAAAATAATTTTGTTTAAATTTATTTAATTTTTAAAGTTAGAATGTGGTGATGTGTTTAAAAATGCAGTTAAGTTGAAGTGTTCTTTGTAATCAAGGTTTATTTCTTTTGCAGAGCAGACAATCATAAAAGCAGAGGAAAAAGTTGCAAGTTGGATGGCAGTCTGCTTGTTGCTGGGCGGCGAAGTGAGAAGAACGTGGGACAGGTGTGTTGACCTGAGAGGAAAGGCCTGGGGGAGAAAAAAAAAGTATTCATGATGGTGCATTGAACGAGTGTAAATGTCTCCGACTTTTCAGGCTGACCCAAAGTTTGACTTCAGCACCTTGCCAATAACAGGAAGAAGAGCAATAAGTGTTGCCTGCAGGTCTGTGCTCGTAGGTGGACTCTGGCGGTGAGCAGGTGACTCCCTCTTGTGGCACAGAGGACCCAAGAACAATCTTCCTTCAACTCTGAATAATGAAATGAGCCTTGTTGAAATAAGACTTCTTACCAGCTCGGTTCGCCTGATCACCACGCAATGTCTTTTACCATTCGGCCAAAAGAGATTTATGAAAAAAGGAATTTTTAAACCATTTACACGAGCATATAAAATCTAAATGTAAGCCCTGCCTACACTTTACAAACGAAGGAGAGTGCTACAATATGTGTAAAGAATCAAGTATTCACATGTCCTTGATAGCGTCTGCTGTGTTGGGTCTGTCTCAGTTACAGACTGAGGCTGCTGTTGTCTTCTTCTCTGATCAAAACAATGTTGTATTTTTCTCTGATCCAAACAGTGTGTCCCTCTAGCGGATATTCCACGAACTGCACCTTATTAAAAATATTCATTCCCTGTCTTTTGTGCATTTTTTCACTTTTGAGTTATCCTGCGGGCCTGATCAAACCTCCTTGTGGGCCGGTTCCGGCCGTATGTTATACACCCTAGATGAATAGTAAGGCGTTTTTAGCCGAAAAAAACGAACATGTATAGTCAGGGGTTTTTCGGCGAAAAAAACGAGCATGTATAGGAAGGCGTTTTGACCCGAAAAAAACGACCATGTACAGTCAGGCGTTTTGAGCCAAAAAAAACGACCATGTATAGTAAGGCATTTAAACCCGAAAAAAACGACCATGTATAGTAAGGCGTTTTGAGCCGAAAAAAACGACCATGGATAGTAAGGCATTTTTACCCGAAAAAAACAACCATGTATAGTAAGGCGTTTTAACCCGAAAACAACGACCATGTACAGTAAGGCATTTTTAACCCGAAAAAAACAACCATGTATACTGAGGCGTTTTTAGACGAAAAAAATGACCATGTATAGTAATGCGTTTTGAGTCGAAAAAAACAACCATGTATAGTAAGGCGTTTTTAGCCGAAAAAAACGACCATGTATGGTAAGGCGTTTTTAGCCGAAAAAAACGACCA